AGACTGCACCCATCCACCACTACCTATACATTCTGCAAAACTAATTTCTTCTCCAGCAAGAGCTTGTATTTTATGATAGATGACATCAGCTAGGGAATTGCCTTGGCCAAGGACTATGTATGCGCAGTTGGTGTGCTGAGGCTTCCTGTATGCTGGAGTGCATATCCTTTATCTGGACAGACACCTCAGCCCTGAAGCCCTAGGATTAGCTAAATGGAAGACACCATCACTGATCCTCCCTCTGAACTTGGAGACTAAAGAAAAGGTCTCATCATGGGGAAGCTCTACAAAGATGGCCTCCTTAAGCTGACACTACCTGTTTTTGCAAAGGCCCTCAGCACGGTGTTAAGCAAACCAGCAGCTCTGTGTTGACATTTGGAAAAGGAACGAAGCTCACAGTGAATCTCGGTAAGTGGAAGAAAGCAATAAACCATCTTCCTGAATGTGATTCAAAATCCTTTGTAAACCAATTAACGGGGATGTGGCTCCTTGCTTTATTTCTGCCAAAATTCAAGTCCTGCCTGGCTAAAAAGTCCTCTCTCCACACCCTGTGAGGTGTAGCCCAGCAGCTGCACAAGGCTTCTTCTGAATTCTCTCAAGTCACTTAAGCCCTTTGCCAAAATGCTTGATTTTTCTGTGTCCTCAAAGGTATGTTCATTTATCAATTAGAGAAAGAAAAGCTCCCAAACAGATTCAGATGCTTAGATCATAGTGAAAAGAGGCATGCTGACAGCGTGTCTGTCTTCATGGGAGGAAAAGAATAAATATTCATCCCTTGCTTCCCATAATTAGACAGTGCTACAGACTTCCCACCCACTATCCCCAGTAGCCCTTATACCAGCTCTGGAAATTAGGGCCATTAGCCTCACTTTATAGAAGAGAACTGTTTTACATTTTTAAAGAAACAAGGAGTTTGAGTAACTCACTCAAGCTGATGCTGAAAGGAGGACCTGGAACTTAACTCACAGCAGAAATTCTAGAACTAAATGCTAGTTAGGGAGGGCCTGAGGGGAAAGTCACTAATACTATGCTTTCTGTAGCTGTAAAAATAATCCTTAAGAAGTGTGTCTTCGATGATAAAGCCAGGGATTGAGCAACAGGCCCACTGCCATCCAGTCCCATATCCCTAACCCTTTCACCAACATCCTCAAGCTGTTCCCATTCCCTCAATTTACAGATGAGAAAGCTGAGATCCAGCAAGCACAGAGTTTTTCCTGGGTTTCAAAGTTAAATGTTTCTGACCCCAACCCTGAGCTCTCTGAAATAAATTGCACCTGCCAACCAACTGAACTAATTACTTGACTGATTATTAAGATGACAATCTATTGGGCTATTAGGGAAAAGAGTGATTCATTTTCCTCCATGGCCCCTTCCCTTTCCAGGAATAGCCACACAGCTATATGTTCACACAGTGCTGTGATGCTGCCTCTGGGGCACCCCTGGGAGCTTGGGTAGAGCCCAGCACCCTGTACTTGCTGCAAGGGTCTTACAGGGCAGTATTTGTAAAGCAGTCTATGGGTGTGTAACTCTAGGGCATCCGAAAAGCTCAACTTTGGAAAAGGAACAAAACTAACCATAAAGCCAAGTAAGTTTGAGTAACTAGTACCTCCTAATTCCTCTGTAATACCCTAGTTTCCAAATTTTCAGTTCTGCTGTATAACCCAAGTCTAAACCACAGCAATCCCATTAATGGACTAATTCAAACAACTGCTGGTGTATTCCTACATTACACAGAGCAAAGCTGCTTACTCCCATGTGTGCCTTCATCTAATGGGTAAGAATGATAGTGCTGGTGCTGATAGTGCTGATAGAACACAGAGTCACGTTGTTAGAAAGTTGAGTTGTTGTTGTTGTTGTTGTTGTTTTTGTTGTTGTTGTTGCTGCTGCTGCTGCTGCTGTCATAACTGATGGCATTTCTCTATGAGACTAAGGTAAAAATCAATTAAATCTCTGAGCCTCCAGTTTCCTTTTCTGTAAAATGGGAGAGGCAGTTCCTGCTCTTATTTTACCAAAGCAGGCAGTTGTGAGGCATATTCCCGCATTTTCAATAAAATGACAATAAGAAAAAAAGAAGGCTCCAGATTGTCCATAAACCCTGCCACCAGTCCCTCATTACAAAAAGCTGGCTTTAGCAGTGGGTTCTTGCATGACAAGTAAATATTGAAGTAAGAAGCCAGAGGACTTTGAGTGACTAGGTTTTTGTAGAGTCTCATACCATTGTGTGATACCGGGACTAATACTAAGCTGACATTTGGAAAAGGGACGATTCTGACTGTTAGACCAGGTATGTTTTAATGAAGCTTACTTGTTTCTAAATATAAGCCACCACCCCTAGAAATTCAGTAAATGTTACCCAGTTCTCAGCAGCCTTTCACAAGGAATCTTTCCCATGAAAATGACCCCATGAACAGCCCTAGACAACAGCCTTTTCAGGACTGACTTCAACACCTCTAAGAACTGTACTTGGGAAGGTTCAGTTGTGTTAATGTTGAAGGTGTGTGTATGACAAATGAATTGAAAGTTTGAGTGCACAGGGCCAGAAAGCATTTAGAAAAGGGAGAGAGGAAGGGTAGATCAGACTCAAGAACAGAGGAGTGGCAGGGAGTGAGTAATTCAACCTGCTCCAAAAGACAATGGTGCGATGTGGCTGCTCATATAAACAAATGCACAGCCACTCTTGTCACCTCGTTATCTTCCCAGGCTTCTGTGTGGGCACAGTTAGGGAAGGAAATTATCCAAGATATTAGATATCCAAGATATTACAAAAAATCTTGGTGCCAAGCTAGTTAGGTAAAGCTATTCTCTGATACTAATAGTGATGGTAAACTGATACTTCAGGGAAAGGCAAGATTGAAATCAACTATAAAACTAAATCAGAAAGAACACGAAATTCTGAAAATATGCCCAAGATGCTGTTACCTGCTATCTTCCTAATTGGGTCCTCATGGAACATTTTCATTCCTGCCCAGGCTGAGCTGTGGGCATCAGAGAAGTCACTTTTGGTATCCACTCCTTTTTGTGCCCCTCAGTGAAAAAGTAGCACCTAAGCTTCTGAGGGGAAGAGGAAGATTCCCTAACCAACTCTAACAACCCCTCTCTCCTCTCCAGCAGAAGGGATATTTTGAGGGTCACCCTGCCACTCTCAAAACAAGCTGAGTTTTGGTTAAGCTCAATGTAGCTGAAATTTTGTTTCATAAAGTCTTTATTTTCTATGGCAATGGAAAAACAGCAGTTTGGGATTTAACTTTTGTGCATACTCCTAAAAGATACCAACTAAACATTCTACTTTCATGACCACATTTTCATCCAGTTTATGAAGGCTAGACTCAAAATGGCTTTATAAGCACTGTGTTACCTCTGCATGACCTTCCCAAAGCCCCTGTGTCCAAGACAGCATCAGACTTAAAAGCATTTCCATGCTGATCTGTAAGTATAGTGGCCAGCAAGGGCATAGGAGCAAAGGAGAGAGCTGCTGAGGCCCCAACTAGACTGGGGACTTGGAATCCTCCAGATATTAGAAATGGTAATCAGAAAAAGCATGTGCAATTCCATTTTAGTCATAATTCACATCTTTCCCAGAGAATGATTATAAATTCTTTCCCAAAGGTGTTGTATTCATCCATTTTTGATTCCTTTACTCGTGAGGTGTACAGAGATGAAATATTGGTTGAGATTCAAAAAACATCCATGAGATTTACCTTAAGCTTTCCCTGTCAGAGAGATTCTAAGAGCTGAAGAGATGGGAATCTGACATTTGGGAAGTAGATTAAAAAGGAAATCCAAATTAATCCCAAGGAGCAATGTTCAATAGATAGTTATTTAGATATAGCACGTCAACCCTGCAGGCCTGGCGCTCAGTTGACTGGACTGCCCCTGTTTTAGTCTTGCCTGGAAGAATTGTAATGTGTTCATGCCAACCTGTCTTGAGTAGAAAGAAATGTCAGCCTCCAGCCCTAAAAACTCCTTGTGATTTGGTTTATTTCAATAGAGTTTATCATTACACAGAGTGTTCTGGAAGTAATAGAAAAGTGTATTAGAAGCGCCTGCAAATGGAAATGAAATGTAAATTTAGATTGTAAATATGTGACTGCAGTAAATAGATAGCAAGAAAAAAAAGATGAAGAGATTAGAAAGTTACCACATTTCTCTAACCCTAAAGGGGATGTTTCTATAAATAGTTTAAAACTATTGAAGAGGAGCCTAGAGGAAGAAGGAGAACAGAAGCAAACAGATTTTCTCCTAATCCTCTTCACATTGCAAAATTGGAAATTGTTTCTCAATCACATTTTCCTGGGTAGAAGGAGGAAGAAAAAAAAATGTCTGTTTCAAGACTAAGGGGCATGTGGGTTGGTGTCTCTGGGAATTGATTTGGAGGATGGCTCCCTGTTAGTGACAAGAGCTAGCAATGCCCTGGCTGAAGGAAAGGAATGAGCACAAAAATCAATCCATGTGTGTGGGAGGGAGAGGGAAGAATAAGAAAATCTCAGGGAGCAGGATTTCTCCCGGCTTTCCTGTATTGCCTTTTGACCTTTCCGCCTTAGCCAGATGCATTGAGTCCCAGAGGAGCAGGCCCTAGGATTCAAACCTGAAATTTTCAGGAGAAAACCAGCTTAACTTCACTCAGGAGACCTAGCATATTCTGACTTTAAAGATTCTTTTAATCCAGCTGTTTTAGGAAGAGCTCTACAAAGGTTGAAAGAAAGGTGAAAAAAAGTTTAAATTCTGTGAAGGGAAAATAAAGATGTTAAATATGTGGCAAAGAAACTGCCCAGGGAGATAGCTCAGCGGCTTAAGTGCCTGCCTGACAAGCACAAGGTCCTGAGTTCAATCCCTGCTACAAAAAAAGAAAGAAACTAAAAAATCTGGCACATGTCCACAGTGGTAAAGGAAGGACAAAATAATTGCCCAAGGAGACACTGCCCATATTTCTCCAAGCTTTTCCTCAGAGGGCAAGATAGGGCCTGGCTTAAGGTTTATGTAAAGCTGTGTGCTGAGGTGTAACTCTGGGGGTAACCAGAAGCTGGCGTTTGGGCAGGGCACCAGGCTGACTGTCCACCCAGGTAAGTACTGAGCCCATGGCTGGTGCAGCTCCCAGCAGGCTCCTTTCTGGGCTGCATCCAGCAAGCTCTCCTGAAGGGCATAGACTTGCTCTGTGGGCTCCATTCTAGTAAAGCAGACCAGCAGAGAGGGACAGCTCTCAGATCTCACCTTTGACGTTTCTTCCTCACTCTCCTCCCTTTCTGCTGTTAGTTTCCAGTAAACCAGAAGCTAGCGAGTCAGTGTGAGCAATTTCAACAACAGACAGAGAAATGGTAACCCCCAAAAGTGCAATAAAGGAGAAGCTGTGTGAGCACCAGCCAGGGAAAGACAGGAAAGGAGAAGAAAGAAACGGAGGCCAAACTGAAGGCGGCAGCTTAGTCAGAAAAAGAACAACAAAGAATTAATTTAATTTAAAATGTTTCGATACATAAATACATATTCAAATATTCAAATATGTGGGGACTCCAAGGACCACTTGGAGCCAAGATCTCACCTGCATCAGCTGCTTTCTGGACTTAAAATAACTTGCAAACCTATAATTCAGTGCAGGGTTGAGACCAAGGCCCTTACACAGAGGGAAGCCCCTGCTCCTGTTTTTGTAAAGCCTCTCTAGGCTGTGAGAATAGGAGGCAGAAGCCTTAAACTAGCATTTGGAAAAGGAACTCTCTTGACGGTAAATCCAAGTAAGTAGAAGGGGTTGGGGAGGGGGCATCAAGGAGTTCTTATCTGAATCTTGCCTCTCCAAAGCATTCCAGTTTAGCTTCCGAATCGAAGATTTGGATTAGGGGTGTATTGTCCCCATCAGAGGGATTAGAACTCCTCTGTACAAAGACTAAACTATCTTCATCCAAAAAACATTCCTATCATCCATCTTAAATGAAATTATTGGTGCAGGGAGGAAAATTGAATATAGGATCCTAAGGGATTCCACTGAGGCCAGGAACTGTTTGCCAAAAAGATAGAAAGGAAATTGGCATATTGTGACTATGCAAATCCAGTAAACCAAACATAAATCTTCTTGATGTAGATACTAAAACTCACCCAAATTTATCTGCTGAAATAATGGGACCTTGTGATTTCAGTAACTAATGCTAGAAATTCTGCAGGCAGGTTTTCTTTTCATCTCTCTTAAAGGAACGGTTCTCATTCCCCCAAGCCAGTAACTAAGGTTTCTAGGAGCAGAAATGTCTGGTGAAGTCAGGTAGAGTGTTTAACCCCATTTTTTCCTTCGTTAGCAAGTTAGTGAATAGGCCTCCACTTTACCTAGCTCTCTTGGGAGTAAGGGGGAAATTCGTCAGCCCCGAGTCCTGAGAATAGAGCAGTCATCCTCGCCCTCACACACACACCCACCGTCTTCTCACAGTAATGATGTGTATGTACTGAAAAGTTTAAGATGTCATATGAAAGGACAGAGCTGTGCTTGCTCCTGGAACTTCTTGAAAATCTACTTTGCTGGTGGGCTTCTCAGAGAAGTGCTTTAAACTAATACAGGGAAGACTGACTTGTAACATTCAGATAAAGGGAAAACAGGAAAAACCTGCAGGACCCCAGTCTCCTTTGGACATAAGCTAAGTGCCCTGGATGCTGAATACAGGTTAGGAAGCCCAGCTTTATTTTTCAGTCCTTCTTTCTGTGATCAAGGGAAGATGTCACACCAGGAAAGGCATGTCAGGAAACACACAGCAGACGAAGTTCTTTTGAAAACTAGCTGGAAGAGAAGGAAGCAAGTAAATGATTCAGCGGTCCTCTGCACGCAGCTTAAGGGATGAATGAGCCAGCCCAGTGGCCCAGGGCTTGGAATGTTCTGGACAGGCCCAGACTGCAGAACACGCAGTGTGGTTAACCATGTAGTTCTCACTTGCGGAAGTGCCTTGCTCGGCAGGGGTGAAATCAGCACGTCTATGACAACAGAAACAATGAATAATACATGATGTTGTCAAATCCAATGCAGCAGTCGCTGAGGTCTTATCAAATTAAAGCTTCAAGGGGATTCATACAAACATCTCAGGAGACTCAAGGACTCAGTCTCTTTTCACAGGGTGGGCAGGCAAGGCGGGGGATGAGAAAATCAGTCTTATCTTTGATGTCTTGCTAGAAACAGACTAGGCCAGGGATCTGGGTGGGCTTTCTAGAATTCAGACAGAAGTGAGGAACCCTCTCAGCACCTGCTTGCTCTTTTGGGGGCTTGTAAGTTGTAACAAACCCTTTGCTTTAAAATGCTGAATGGGCCCGAGAGTTTGACAGCCTAATCATAGAGAAAACATATGTGAGACAGCATACTTCCAGAGCTCTGGACAGTTAGTGGGTGCCAGATTTTCTATGCAGTGGACCCTCTTCATGTGGCAGTCACAAGGCCCAGCCTAAATTCTGTTTCCTTCTATCAGCAGAACACAGACTGTTGCCACAGTAACGCTTAGTGTGTCCACATGTTTGAGGCCTCCAGCTGACGGCAGGCACCCGGTTTTGCTTATGTGCTATGGAGGCTAAAGTGTGTGGGGTCTGGGAGGGGCCTTTAGACCGTGAATACTGAGAAATAATAACGAGCTGAAGGGTTGTATAAATGCCTGTCTTTAAAGTAGATGGATTCTTCTTCTGAGTTAGACATTAGCCTTTTTCTCTCACCCTTTTCTAACCTAAAGTTTTAACCTTTTGCTAATAAGTAATTGCTTGAAGAGATGAATAGCATAAAATCAAAGAAGTTGAACAGTTTAAATTTTGAATTCATTTAAAGGACTAAAATAATCTGGTTTTTTGTACTTTGGGCTAGGATTTGATCATAATCATACGCATCAAGAGCCTCTCTTAGTGTGGCTCTTTGTGTACTTTGTGTCATCCTCGGACATAGCCGAGGATTCCTATGGTTGTGACAGTCAGCAATGGGAAATTTTGTCAAGGGTTGAAATTTACAGCAGCCCCAAGCAAACATGGAAGAAGCTGCCCCTTTCTTGGCCCTGGCTAACTCCTCCACGGCGGTCACTTGGTTGCTGTGTGAGGTCAGACACCACAGCTAAGACTGACGTCTAAGTTTTCCTGAGACTGTGGGGTACCTCAGAATAAGGTCCTTTTTGCTAAATCTTAATAGTCCTCAGGATATTTAATCACCATGACAAGATATAGGCTTTCTGAGAGCTATCACCTACATTTCACCAAGTTCAAGACTGACAGAAGCCACACTGTGTGAAGGCTCCATTTCATGCACCAGACATTTTCTTTTCCTTTTGCATGCCAGGGCATGAGGGAGAGCTTTGGAGACAGTGTTTCATGAAGCTGAAGCCTAAACCTCATCTAATTCTAGTCAGCCTCCAAAAGGCTGCACACTCTCCTCCTGTCTCCTTGTAATCAATTCTTTGTCATCAGAAATGTGTGACACCTCGAAGGGAGGAAAGGACATGTCTGGAAAACTGATCAGAGAAATTGTCCTGAAAATGATGCTGTTAAATGGAAATGAGACCTTTGGAAAGAGAGCTGAGAAATCAGTAAGCTTCAGGACGGAAACAATGGGAATGATGGGGTGGGGGAGGCCCGAGTGGGCAGCCGGCCCCATGTGGAAATGGTCCTCTGACCTTCAGAGGGAGAAACCGGGCCAGCCACCTGGTCCAGGCCCCATCGGGTAAGCTTATTTTCCCCATAATTACAATAGGAAGATGTCAGTGACTCAGGGGTTCCTCTGGGGTTCTTGTAAAGGCCTGCTTCACAGTGGCAGTGCTGGCTATGGGAAGCTGGTGTTTGGACCAGGAACCACCTTGACTGTCTGTCCAAGTAAGTGTAAGAGGACAACAGCATGTGGAGAATTCTGGAATCTTGCCAACGTTGCCAAATTTTAAAGGAACAGATATTGTCTGGGAGCCAGAGCTTGCTTGTAGTTAACTAGTGTCATCCAAGGTCTTTTCTCTTCTTCAATCTTAATATGCAGTGATTCCTTTTGTACTTTAAATCGGTTCTCTCCCCTTGCAATGAGTAAAGCTGTCCTTGACCTTCACCTAGGAATCTAGACTCTTTTCTGCTTTCAGAGCCTTCTCTGGAGGTGAGGCCCTAACTTCTTTCCAATTCTATTTTTTTGGCACCATTCTGTCAGAGAGTTCTTCCTTATATCAGTCTTAAATTCCTTTTGGCACACCTGAGGCCAATTCCACTGGTATCACCCACAGTGAAGCAGGATAATTGGGAGCAGTTTGAATAGGTACATGATACTCAGCTCAGAATGGGTTTTAAATGAAAGCAGAGAAGAGAAAACTGAAAACTGAATAGGAATCTGAGGCCTTATTTCAAATCCCTCTGTGTCCCTACTGCTTCTATAAATGCAAAACCACCAAAAAAGAGAGAGAGAGAGAGAGAGAGAGAGAGAGAGAGAGAGAGAGAGAGAGAGAGAGAGAAAGGATAGACAGAAATAAGCATCCGCTGTGTCCATTTCCTATCAGGGAAACCACAGGCAAAGGATTACAATTAATTCCAAAGAGTTTCAGATACCAGGCTTAAGACCTCCCTCCTTGTGGTGACTTGCATCCTTGCTGATAATTAGAGCAGATAGAAAGATTTGGCTCTGGTGTGTTTGTGGCTGCACCCCACTGAGAAGAGAGAAAAGCGCAACTACTTTGTAAGATTCATAAAGTTCCTTCTGTCAGTCGTCATAAAGCTCCTCACTGCAGGGAGACATGTGACAGCTATGAGGAGCTGCTACTTGGAAAGGGGGCTCTAGTAATAGTGAAGCCCAGCAAGTTGGAAGGACTCAGACTCACAGCACCCCCATTTCCTGCCTTTGGGTCTTTTGTGTAGAGGCCTAAGAGAGCCAAAGAATTAAGGAGCGCCTGGAACGCGGGGTGTGTGGGTTCTTAGAAATTAGAAAAGAAAACAGTAAGAGATGGACAGGAAAAAGTTTAAAAGCAGGACTACATCTTTCACTGCAGCTTCATAAGCCTGAAATAGGGAGGAAGTTATCACAGAGAAGGCCACCCTGACTGATTGCTATTGCAGGACTCTCTGTTCTCCTAGGTCCTCCACCCAGGACAGAGTCCCCTCACAC